TTAGCATGTTGTAGTACACGTGATGACAGTTAGCATATTGTAGTACATGTGATGACGCGTGTTAGCATGCTGTAGTACATGTGATGACGTGTGTTAGCATGTTGTAGCACATATGACTACGTGTTAGCATGTTGTAGTACACGTGATGACAGGTTAGCATGTTGTAGTACATGTGACGATGTGTGTTAGCATGTTGTGTCATCTGTCCGGTTCAGAATGTAGAACGTTTCGTATTTGCAGCTTTTTCTTTAAAACAAATTCAGCGCTTTGACTTTATTTGACTTGTTGCTTCCACTAAACAACATTTATGTAACAGCTGCTGCCTCTGGTTCATGTGGAGATAAAATAATAAATTATTAACGACTGCAGCACTAAACACATAAAGATGCATTAATGTGGTCGTTCATTATCAGTCATATAAAACAGTAACACCAACATTAAATGCTGCTGGTAGTTTTTCTGAACGTTAACATCAAATTAAAGTATAAAAGTAAAGAAACAAGCTGCTGCTCAATAACTCCTCATTCATCATTGTTCAGGTCAACCTCCAATAAATTCATATTTTAAACTGATTATATTTTATTACATCGTGAGCAGAATTCATTCAAAAACATTTTAAAATTCTTTTAACATCAGGATTCAGTTTTATTGCAGAAAACAAAAAGTCCTTTCAGTATTTAATAACGTCTTCGTCTCACGTCTGCTTCAAATGTGTTGATTTAAAACATCTGAGCAGAAACCAAAGAAGAACCAAAGAAGAACCAAAGAAGAACCAAAGAAGCTGTTTGTTCCACAAACACGTTTTATTTTTAATAAAATGTGAAAATATCCATAAAAAACCAAAACGTCAGCTTCTGTCCCAAAAACAATTCACTCCAGACAAACACAATAAATAAAGTCTCTGGTTGACGTCGGTGAGGCTGCAGCGCCACCTGCTGACCGCCTGCAGCCTCGTCAGTAACTCAGACCATCAATAAAGCTTCAGGTGTTTGATGAAGGACCAGTTCAGCTGCTCAGCTCAGTCAGCGTTCATCAGATCAGATCTCAGAGTAAACGGTCAGCTGTTCTGGAAGGCCTCCTCTGTGCTGCGTTCACTGACGCCGCTCCAAACGAGATCAGCCAACGTGTCCGAGTGTCAGTGAACGCAGCACCGTGGAGTCCAGCAGGTTGGACTGTGTGGAGGTCAGAAGCAGCAGGACCAGATTCCTCCTCGTAACAGGAAGTTCAACGTCTTCTAAAGCTTCAGCTCACAGCCTGGATGGAAGAAGAAGAAGGAGAAGCTTTGAGGACGTGGACTTGATCCTGAGATGAGCTTCAATCAGCAGAAACATCGTCTGACGGTTCAAAATGTGTTTCAGTGATAAAAACCCGTCGGCAGCAGTCGGGTTCTGGTTCAGTCCGAAAGTTAAACAGCAAAGTTCTGAGCCTCAGAACCTCACCAGTACAGCAGAGATTGTAGGTAGAACCTGACCCAGATCAGTTCTACGTCCGTCCAGGAGTCTGAACTCTGGACCTGGTTTCATTAATCATTAATTTATAAATAGAACTAAATGTGAACAGTTCTGAACGTTTCATCAGAACTTTGGACAGATTTCTGTTATTTTATCTCATTTATTGTCATTTCTGAGTCACTCTGAACAAACTTTGGTTCGTTTTGGATCCATTCTGAACAATCTGTGGACGAATCTTGAGTCATTTCAGTTATTTTTCTTTCACATCGTGATGAAAACTGAACATTATTGAGATGCTGAACGTTTTCTGTCTTTGTGGGCGGAGCTGGGCTCCGTTAGTATTATGGGATGTATCGTCGTGTGAACAGCACCAGCTTCATGTTTTTGACGTGGAGTCGATGAAACCGTCCAGACTTTGGTCAAACATGGAGCCACGAGATGCTTCAGTTTATCCAGAATGATTCAGAATCAGCCTCAACATCAACAAAATGACCTCAAACATGTTTAAACCAACGTCCAGGACGACTTCAAGACGTCTCATCTATCGACACCACAGCCTGCATGGTGATGAAACGTTTACCTGCAGCCCAGGTGTCTGCCGGCCTCTGATTGGCCGGCCGTCATGGCGTCCGTCGGTCCGTCATGGCGTCCTGGATCTGCCTGCTGAGCTCGGCGATGATGCGGTCCTGGTGGGTGTAGACGCCGGTCCTCAGCAGCGCGTCGCGTTCCTCCAGCAGGCGGCTCAGGTGCTCGTCGGCGCTCTCGTTCAGACTTGGGCCGGGGGCGGAGTCATCGGCGGAGGGGGCGGGGCCTAACTGGCCCTCCTGCTGCTTTAACCTGTGG